CCTTTGCAGCGTGTGAGTGAGTGAGTACGCATGCCTGTGTGCATATGTATGTTCATAAAAATTGTACAGGTATGTTTTCTGTAGTCAATATGTACGTCTAGAATCGCATATTTGTGTAAGTGCTTTATATGCTGACATGAATGTCTTGTGTTCCGCTCTCTCTCCCCAAACTGCGTCTTCCAACAGAAGCCCAAGCTCGAACTTGGCCAGGCCTGCGCCGAGAAGGACCGTCATGACTGGCTGGGATTTTCGTACGTAGAGTCGGGCACAGGCGCAGCACGGAAACACTTCTAAGGATTCTGAGGAGCTTTAGTTCTGTAGGTTTGCGTATATGATTTATCATTACTACTGGGGCCATGGTCTTTTGCTACTGTTGTTATTGTTGCAGCTGTTGACGTTGTCTGTGTTAGGACTGCGCCTATTTGATTAAGGGTTCCTTGTTTAGGGCTTGCGAGCCTTAGATTTAGAACATTCGGGCTCGTCTTGCTTCCAATGCTTTTCGTTGCTTTCGACGTTGAAGCATCCGTTCGAGGGGCATTTCGCTTGGGACCTTTGCACCTTCATGCTGAGCCACGATGCAAACAAGTAACGGAAAGCCTCTTAAATCTACGACCTGAGCCCTGAACCCTCGCACACTCTAAAGCCCTACACCCTCGGCAGTTGTCAATCAGGAAGTGGCGGCGGTGAAGCAGTGGAACCAGATCCCTTCCCCGACCGCCTCAAACTCGGTCTGCTGATGGAAAAGGGTCTGCCAAAACAATCAGGTGTTGCAGAACAGGGTGACCATGATGCCATGGATGAAGGGTCGATGCAGGACGAAGTCAAGACGTGAGATGAGATGGCCAGGGCCGAGATTGAGGTTGATTCGAAGGGGTCCCAAACCAGTGCCTGTTCCAACCAACCTTAGCTCAGCGTATTGAACAAGGCTTCAAACAACGGGCACAAGTACGGAAATGTTTCTTCCGACCCGTTAGGGCACATACTTCTAAACCCTAAGTTCAATTCTAGGAGCGCTTGGTTTGTTGAGGTCGCGAGTCTGGTCATGGCCCATGAGCTTTCCACGAACTTCACTCAGAAGGCGTCCGGAAGCGGCTTGGATCTGCAAGCCCTGGCTTTGAAGGTGGATTGTCGTAGGTTTTCTCTGTTCAAGCATGTTGTTTCAGTTCATGATTCCAGCATTTTTTGAGTATGCTTGCTTCGCAGCGTGATCGAGCGGTCTGTGCATGCATATCATGCATGATCGAAATCCCTCGAGCATACTGACTTCTGGGGTTGTGGAGCCCGCCAAGGTGGCGAGCTTTTGCTCTCGGACGTTTGGGCAGAGGCATCGGCTTTTTCTCAGTGCTCACACGTCGGATATCTTCGAGGAAATATGAGAAGGTTGCCTGCCAGTGCATTCATGTGGCCGTGCTTTCCTGTGCAGACGTTAACTTCAGAACCTTGGCACTGGAGAGGTGCACGCAGAGACACAGGGATCCGGAACGTGTCTGTGTTGAGCCAGGAAATAGACAGCAGCGACAGGAAGCAAACGTGAACTTTGCAGCAAGTCTCGTGGCCCCTTTGCGCACAATTCTGCGATCAACCCTCAACTCGGCAGGCGGTCTGTCCATGGTTCTTCAACCCGCCGCTCCACACGGACAGCCGAGAACCCATCTTCGAATTTTGTTTCTTCTTCGTCACGGATACGGGGCGTCTTCATGTTTATAAAGCGATGCCATGTAGGGCCTGTCTTATGCGTTTGAAGCTCCCAAATGCAGCAGATCGCGAGAGCGCAGCAGGGTGCCTTACAATACGAAGCGATGTAAGCTACACAATGAGCTATTCCTTGATCGACAGTTTACATTTGCTAATCTTGCTAGAATGTATGTGTCAGGAAGGTGCAATAGATTTTTTTGCATGTACGCAATCAAACGCAAAAGAATCTCTTTGCTCGTGTCATTTTTGCTGTCATGACTATAGGCTCATAAAGGTTCGTGTTGTATGTATATGTATACATGTATATCTATGTCTACATGTTTTTTCTTTGACCCTCAGCTCCTCATAAGCAGCGGCAAAATGATACGAGTGCTCTCCACCACGTGCCTCTCGAGAAAAATGGATGAACCACATGACGAACACTGGAGCACTCTTTCCGTTTTTTGCGGTCAGAAGTCACAAGTACGCAGCCCGGGAAGTTCCTTGCTGAGGCAAATACCTCAAGTGCTACAATAGCGATCTCTGCGACCCGGACGAGGATGGGGAGCCTGGGGCCTGGTCGGCTTTTCAAAAGCCTTGCAAGGACGTAGTGTTGGAGTGTTGCTGCGGGGAAACAGTCTCGACCTGGCGGACAGTCCGCAGAAGAAGAAGGCCCGCTCGTGTTTGCAGATATCAACAAGCAAGCCAGCGTAGCGTGGCAGCGGACTACTGCGCTTGGCCAGCAGTTGCGCTGTGCTTTCCGAAACCGCAAAGCCGTCAGTTTGTTCTTAATGTGAAGAGCCATCCCAGCCCAGGGACTGCTGCGCTACGAGAAAGGGCACCTTCATGTGTTCCTCGCCGGGTCCCAAGAACTACGAGATCTTTCCTGCGATTGTGTATTGGAGAAGACTGCAGTCGATAAGAGCATGCGATGGTGCATAAGTGTTTGCATACTGGCACAGAGGTATAGTCTGGAAAGACTGGAAATTCACGTTGTAGGTTTATGATGCAGGTGGAATAGTTCAGCAGAGTACAGCACGGTACAGTGCAGCACAGTCCAGTACAGAGGGGTGCAGTAGAGCTCAGTACAGTACAGTACCGCGCAGTAAAGTACAGCATCCCATCATATCACATCGTGTCGTATCGTATCGTGCATTTGTGTAGTAAAGTGTCGTATCGTACAGTAAAGCAAAGTATAACACAGTACAGTACAGTACAGTACA